CCACATCTGCCACTGTGGGGAGAATGGGGTGTCCACAGCTTTAGGACAAGCCCCGCCCCCTCCCCATCGGCCACTGCAGTGTCGACAGAACACCGGCCTCGCGGGGGGAATGGGGTGCCCGCAGCCTCCACACAAGTTCCGCCCCCCCCCATCTGCCACTGCCTCACAGGGAGAATAGGGTGCCAGCAGCACCACTTCATTCTCTCCGGTGCTGCGGTGCTATTGACTTCAATGCACCGTCACGCCCTAAAACAAAGTGAGCTGGTCAAGTTGTGTTCCAGAGGCTGAATGCACTGGAATGCACTCTTTATAGTGTGACTGGTCCCTTATTGTTTACATCTGCTGCTAACAATATTCCATGTAAAAAATCCAAAAGAACAGATAAAAAGGAGGACAGAAGCGCTACTGCCATGGGATGACCGAGTGTAAACTGAAAAGACAAAATAAAGGCAACTGACAACTTACCATGAAGTGAGAGCTGACGCGATGTTATCGACGAAAGGTGGATAGTGTCAATAGTGTGAATGGTGTGCGCTCTCAGAAGTGTGTGAACTGATACTGGGAAAGGCGAGCAGGTGGGGGGATTGGTCACTGCTGTTGTGGCTGGGGAGGGCACAGTGACATTCGAAGCCTGGGTCGAAGTGTAGTATGTTGCTGGGGTCTTGGATGGAAGGGGACCGCTGGTGGCAGTAGGAACAGAACAATGCCGGCTACCTGATACTGTCGGGGCTGCTGGGGGGCGGGGGTGTAAGGTCCGGATGGTGTGCGATGAAGGGCTGCCTGTGGGAGTGCTGTCGGCGGCTGACAATAATGTTCAGTACGGGCATGAGCGCTGAGTAGATCGGAGGTGGGTGGGCAGGGAGCCCACTCAGGCGCGCAGGGTCACGGACATGTGGCAAGTGTCACAGAGGTGGAACTGGTGGCGTTTGCGGCGGCCTTGGAATGGACACTGCGAGCGGGGGAGCCAGGAGGGCCAGTGAAGGCGGTGAGACTCCAACGCTCCATGGCATGAGCAGGACGCCTGAGACAACGAGCGGTGTGTCGGGGGAGAAAGAGCAAGTCTTCTTTTTCAAGCCGGGATGTGAGCCTCCCGCCTCCATTCCCGACTCACACCTGCTCGCCTTTCCCAGTATCAGTTCACACACTTCTGAGAGCGCACACCATTCACACTATTGAAGGATCACAACCTATCCACCTTTCGTTGATGACATTGCGTCATCTCTCACTTCATGGTAAGTTGTCAGTTGCCTTTATTTTGTCTTTTCAGTTTACACTCGGTCATCCCATGGCAGTAGCGCTTCTGTCCTCCTTTTTATCTGTTCTTTTTGATTAACGTCGGACACCCCAGTCCGCACTAAAAAGAAGCTGCACACCTAACACTAAATTCCACACCCATACGCCCTTACCCTTCGTGCAGCGCTATATCAGGGGACAACTCTCCTAACTTTTCATGTAAAAAATCCGGCTGCCCAATACCAGTGAGCAAATGCTTCTGTGCTGTCACATATAACGCATGCCATGCCACCCCATAGTGTGTGGTAGGAAAGCAGGATTCATTGCGTTCTTTACTACTGAACTGTGTGTTTTGTTTCTGCCCTCTGTGCGATCCTTACTTCTGCTCTCTGTGCGTTCCTTACTTCTGCTCACTGTGCGTTCATTACTTCTGCCCTCTGCGTGTTCCTTACTTCTGACCTCTGGGACTGAGAGGAGATCAAAGAGAGATTGTGTACCGAACTCCCATTTGATCTCCTGTCACAGAGCAGCCGTGCCGGTCCCGGCCGCATCGGGCACAGCGGATCTCAGGACCGGCAAGGCAGTGACACCTGCTCCTATACAATTGGTCGGGCATCTCTAGAGACGCACGATCGATTGAATGTAAAGCTCCCGGCCGAGTGGATTGGAGGACGAGTGGATATTTCAAGCCCTGATTATTGGTGTAGGTGGGGGCCTTCACGTTTTGAGTTTCGCCTAAGGCCTCACAAAGTCTAGAGCTGCCTCTGGTGGATGGTATAAGGTGGATGGTGGTGCTGGCATAAAACATAATGTGAATGGGCAGGAAGGGGATGCCAGAGAAGCTCCTATAAACAATAGTGGATGAGAAAGGGAAGGATCTGACAGAGAACATGTAGAGTGGGAGGGTGAAGGGGAATCCAGAGAACTTTACATTGGGGGCTGTCTGCAAACACAGCTAAGAATGTGCATTTTTGGATCATGAGAGAGGTACCCAAGCTTTTCCGCAACATTCATTCCAAAAGTGAAAAGGAAAGCTAAATGTATCTTCACAATGGCTCCGAGCGCCAACAATCATCCCATGTTCAAGGGCTGTTAAATCGCGTTGTTTACCCATAGCGTCAGAAAAAAATTACTTCTACTGTCGTGATAAACAACCTGCTTCCCTATTTATGATGGTCTGGCCCTCTAGCAACTTCAGCGTGAAATTATAGCTAATTTGACTACAAACGTCAGGTGGTCAAAATAATCTGGCCACTCAGTGTATATATATGCTAAATGTTTACAATAAAAAGTACAAGTAATCTAAAGGGTTTTAGGTAATCTACTGTGTCAAAATTTAGCCTTCATTTCCTAACCCTAAATTATTTTAATTATAATAAATAGATGCATAATCAACCCAAAAGCAATAAGTTAGATATGAAGCTTGTATAAATTACAGGTAAGCTTTCATACAAATGTTTTATTCAAATTTACACCTATAAGTAAATGGTTAAAATGTTAGAAAGTGTTTTTAGTGCATTGGAGTAACTGATGTGACTTCAGTTGACATGAATTTCTAAAAGATAGACATGGGTATTAAAGCATGTATTGTAAAGAAAAAATATGAAGAAAGCAGTTGGAAAAAATCCCCAGTGAATTGAAAGTCAGATTTACGTTATACTATAGCCAGAGACCCAACCGTATGGGTTATGCTAAAAAAAAACAACAAAGCAAATATATATATATCCCCCAGTGGGATCAGTATGCTAACAAACAAACTGTGCAGATGTTACAGGATCGTTATTCTGTTATGCAACTTCCAATATAAAAAAACTGTAGTGAATAATGTAAACACTTTAAAACAGAAAAAGTTGCAGTTGTAGAGATGATCTTAAATAGGTCAATATATACATTTTATGTTTTTCATGCATTTAACTCTGGTAGATAAAGTGACACATTTGTTTTCAGTTCTCGAAGAAGCATTGCCGTCACATCACCATTAAAGCTGGTTATTTTTAGATTTAATAGAATATCTTCTACACATTTGGACACATTGCCGTGCAGGAACATTCTGTACTACAGCATAGCTTTCATATTATAATATTAGAATATACAGATATATATATATATAGATATATAGATATATATATATATATATAGATATATATATATCTATATATCTATATATATACACACACACACACACTGTATTATGAAGCTGACAGCTTTTTCCTCCATAATTCACCTGCCTCCCCTGACAGCACGTCCCTGGTAATGACAGTTCAGCATCCCCTGGTTACCTGGTAACCAGGGGACGCTGAACTGTCATTACACACTGGGAACTCGGCGGAGCCACCGTGATATCAGATCACAGCATTAGCATTAGCTCCCTGTTATCTGCTGATTCCCCTGATATGTTTTTTTTCTATTAGTTGGACAGCTGCAGCAGGCTGTCGTCACAGTAAAGAAATACAAAAAAACTAATAGCATAGGAATGAATAGCTAGGCTGCTATTGGCCATTTCAAATTGGAATAGCCAATAGTAGGCTGGCTATTGCACCCGCCTACTACTGCTGTCAATCAGCAGAGGTGGACCTGAAGTTCTCCATTAGAAATGGCCAATAGCAGCCTAGCTATTCATTCTTATGCTATTTGTTGTTTTTTTATTTCTTTACTCTGACAGCAGATTGCAACAGCTGTCAAAATAATTTTTTTTTAAAACATAGCAGGGGAATCAATAATCAAACAGGATCTGAGTGTTCTGGTAGATAAGAGATTTAATGCAAGCTCAAGCTGCAGTGTTTAAAGCAAGCTAAATACTTTCTTGTATTAAATGAAGTATAGACTGCAAAAAGAGAGAGTAAGAGAGAGAACACAATCTTGCCCCTGCCCAAAGTAGTAGTTAGACCTCAAGTAGGATATACACTACAGTTTTAGGCACTAGTTCATAAAAAGGATTTTGGGAACTGGACAGAATGCAGAAAAGGGCAACTAAACTGAAAAGAGGTATGGAGGACCTATGTGGAAAGATTAGCTGAACTGAATGTATTCTCCCTTGAGAAGAGGGCTTTAAGAGGTTATATGATTACCCTGTGTAAATACATACTGTAAATGGTCCTTATTGTGAACTTGGTGCAAATGTATTTAACCTTAGGTCCATTACAAAGAACAAGTGGGCACTCTTTGCATCCAGAGGATGAGCAATATGTGCAGTTAAACCGCTGCATATGGAAAGACTTCTTCACAATAGGAACTGTGAAAATATGTAATTGACTCCAGAAACTAGTTCCAGCAAGCTCAGTTGATTGTTTTTTATTTTTCCTAAATGCACAGAAATAAAATGGTCTATTAAAATTTAAAAGTAATAACACCAAACATGTTGATCCAGGGAATATCCATTTGCCTTAGGGGATCAGGAAGGAATTGTTTTTCTGCTCTTTGAACAAATTAGACCATCCTTTATAAGGGTTTATTGCCTTTCTCTGGATCAACTGTGGGTATGGGGTTTGATATATGCAGGTGTAAAATGTATTTATTATTATGTTTTAATTGTGTGACCTCAATAGACTTGTGTCTTTTTTAAACCTCACCAACTATGTAACTATGCTACTGATACATACAAATTCATAGAATGATCATACATATTCCAGCTGAACAGCTAAAATATTTCACACAGACTGACTGCATGACTTAGCCAAATTGTTTTCCATAATTTTATCAAACTGGTAAATAGTATGCTTTTTCTGTTAAGAATAAATTATAAGCAATGTTTTATATTTTATTCTCAGCCTCACGCTGTGATGGCCAGTTTCTATTAACTAGGGACTCTGGAGAATTTCAGTCTCAAAATTATCCAGAAAATTATACACCAGACTTATTTTGTCGCTGGATAATAAGGTATGTGCAATTTAATCTTTAGAAATTATTGTCGCTTATTTAAAAAATAATAATAATTGTTTTTTATATGTGAGAAGCAATTTGATTAAGAAGTTGACAGGCAATTCTGATTTAACCAGCTTGCCTGCTTTTTTTTAAAGGGTAAATGTACTTTTATTATAGTTTCCTAAAAGGCAGGATCTCCCTTTCACAGCAAGTTCCCCATTTACTTGTGCTCACTTAATTGTAACCTTTACTGTAGGGCTGCTGGGTGCCATACAATCTCTTCATAGAAAGTTTCTTGGTTAGTCTGCACATGTGCAGTAGATTTCCTCTTTGCTCCTATGGGAAGCTTGTTGATTGTTGAGGTCAACAGTTTAGTTCCCATAGGAAATCTAATGCACATGTGGAAACCAGTGAGACTGCTTTGGCTGTGCCTTTTTTTGCTGGTTGTTCATGGGATTGCTCAGTACTTGGGGAAGAGACAAGTTTTTGTTTATTGTGCACAGGGTTTTATTTTCCTATAAGACTTCCTATAGCAACTTGAACTGTATAGTTAGTGAGAGAAAGGATAGGATTAGACATGCCAAGGTGCTAGGTGTCATCCTTTGGAACTCGGACCCACATCCAATCACTATCCAAATCCTGCCGCCTTCACCTTCATAACATCTCCAAAATATGCCCCTTCCTCACCAATGAAACCGCAAAGTTACTCATCCACGCACTTGTTATCTCTCATCTTGACTATTGCAACTCCCTCCTCATTGGCTTACCTCTACACAAGCTATGCCCCCTTCAGTCTATCATGAATGCAGCTGCTAGACTCATCCACCTAACCAACCACTTAGCGTCTGCAACCCCTCTCTGCCAATCCCTCCACTGGCTTCCAATAGCCCAAAGGATAAAATTCAAAATATTAACAACCACTTACAAAGTTATCCACAATTATGCCCGCGGCTGTATCTCAAACCTTGTCTCAAAGTATCACCCTAACCATCCCCTCCGCTCTTGCAAAGACCTCCTGCTTTCCAGCTCCCTCGTCAACTCCCCCCATGCTCACCTCCAGGACTTCTCTAGAGTCTCTCCCATCCTCTGGAACCCTTTACCCCAACCTGTCCATCTATCACCCACTCTTACTGCCTTTAGGCGATCTCTTAAGACTCATCTCTTTAGGGAAGCCTATGCCACCCCAAACTAACCACTGAACCATCACGTTCTGAATTCATCCCCACACAGCTACTTCCTCATGTATCACTTGCCCCTCCATTTTAGATTGTAGACCCTCCTTACCATCTTGTCTTGTATTGTAATTGTAATGGCTTCCTTATAGCGTAAAGCACCGTGCAAGCTGTTGGCGCTATATAAATCCTGTATAATAATAATAATAAAAATTATGTTTTGTTCTGAATGCAGATTTGGATGACATTTTGAGAATTTGGACACTCAGATGCATCCAAATGCATCCAAATTCCAATGAGGCTGAATGCAAACGAATCCGAATGTTCTTTTTCTTTCAAAGTTTTTTATTGAAAGTAAAGTTTAAATATGCAAAAAATAGAACAGTAGAATAAAGAAGGTAACCCCCTGAGAGCAATAATAGACAAAATACAAAAAAAAAGAAAATACAAAACGTGAATCGTATCCTGAAAGAGCAAAAGTGCAAAGAGGATGACAACATACCCATAGAAAGGATCTCGCATTAAGGATTAATAGCATTCTTCCAAATATACACTCGAGAAAAAAAAACATTACAGTCACCTCTAATTGAGGTATATAATTGTGAGGAAGAAATAGAGCAATAGGTAACAGAATTCCTTTAAGGTCTCAGGGTGACAGAAAGATAAAAGACATGAAAGAAGGGTTAATAGGAAGAAGAGATGGGAAAAGAGTCGTATGCTTCGGATACCCAACCACTTCCATCCAACTAGTGCCATATATAGAATGATAATCAAACAGCATTGGAAATACCCAGGTATCATTGCCAGGGATCCCATACTGCCTCAAATTGAGGTTGTCTATCTTGTAGGATGCTATAAAGTTTTTTTTTAATCATAACCCAAGTGAGCTTGGATTTAACGTATGTGAAAGGAACGAAAAGTGACTTCCAGGCTCTGGCAATAGAGATCTTGGCCACTAGAAAGAAAAAGGAGAGAAGTTTGCTTTGTGCTTTAGTGACTCTCAGAATTGGCCTTTTCAATAGTACATATTGTGGATCTCTCTGTACTCTAATGTGGAGAACCCTAAAGATCAAGGCAAAAAATCTGTTCCAAAATGGACGTAATTTGGGGCCCGCATGTTCTTTTAACATAATTTCGAATCATCCAAATTTCTTTAACACTGAAACTAAATGAAAGTGACTGTTTCCTGGCCAATCAGAAAACCCCATCTGAAACTAAAATTAAATTCCAAAGATCTGAATAATAAAAAGAAACGGCATTCAGGCATGAAACCCGAAAGAACTAAAAATCTGAAACATTTTTTGCCGGCTTACAAGTCTAGCTAGCATTTATTGTTATGTTTCTCGTTCTGTGGAATGTTGCTTATATTTATTTGATGATAGAAATGCATTAAGGCTGAATGTGAATAGTTCAAAACTTGAACTGCTGTGTGGACTCTCTAACCCAGGAGACAGTGAAAGCCATGCTGCTAAGATTACAAAGCTTTAGAGTTATTTTAGAAGAAAAACTGATGTAGAATAGTGGTATTTAGAATGCATGTCTTACAGTCAGCTTCCAGAGCCTATTTTTCACTGCTCTGCTTAAAAATGTATGCTTTGTTATGCATTTAAGGAAGGGCAGCTTTTAGCACAAACTATGTAAGCAAGGCAAACACCCCTGCCATGCCCACCGTTATTTTCAAAAGCAAAAAAAGTGACAAAGTATTACAATACAATAGCTGAGATTCAGAAATGCTCAGCAGATACTCTGCTGTAAACAAGTTTCAAAAATAGTTCACAGCATTAACAACATGAGAAATGGAAGAAGAGAAACACCACTGACTAAAGAATGACAACAAAATAAAGTTGCATTGTGATGTCAATCTATTGTATGTCTCGTTTTAAGTCTTAGATGTAGAAACTAGCTAGGTGTTTATTCTCAGTTGTTGTACCTATATGTTTTAGATGCACTACTGTCTGAAAGAGATGGAGGGGGGGGGTGTAAAGAAGAAAAGAACTAGATTTTAAAATAAAAAGTTAAAAGAAGGATAATAGAAGCTGAGAGGTCCAAGAGAGTGAAAACAAAAAGAGAGTCTCCTGACCAGGGTGCATGCGACATAAATAGGGAAAGTGTCCTGGGTGACATATGCATACCACCAATCAGGCTACCCTTTCTACCTGCTCAAAGGCTATTTATATCCATCTCTGCATGTCTGATTTGTATCCAGGGTTACCAAAGGAGTAGACATTTTTTGTGTTTATCACGTAGGAGACTCTTTAAATGCTCATTAACAAAAATGTTAAGGTTGCCTCTTCCAATTTCTGGCCAAAGTTAGCTGAGCTTCCTGGAAAAAGTGCATTTATACATATTGTAGTTTGGTCAATGCTCCAATAGTGACATGTAGAAGTGCCAGCCAGGGATTTGTAGGGATGTTTTGTGATCTAAGCAGGTGAAAGACTTTAGTTCAAAAGGCTGTTGCACTAATATGCACATCCACTAAATATACAACATATCACTATCTGCATTGCAACCAAGCAAACATCTATTGGAATAGGTGGGGATCAACACCACCACTTTTTCTTTATAAGAGCTTTTTAAAGTAACAAATGCAAGCATTTAGAGATTGGATAAAAGGTTAAATGCAGCAACACTTTAGACATTTAAATAATAAACACATTAAACTCATGGTTAGCAGGTTTTAAATGTGTTTTACATGCTGTGTCATTCATTCCTATAAAAAATTTATGGAAACTGTACAAGAAAAGCTATCTGCTGTTTTTTACCTGGACCCCATGCATGAGTCCTGTTTATGTCCCCCTACCTGGAGAAATGTCCTAAAACATATTGCATTCTTGCACTCCATCTGCTGGTTCTTTAAACTTGTGCAGTGCAGCTGGAAATTGCCGGAGCAAAGACCTCTTTGAGTATTTGTTCCCGGGATGTGATCACCATTCCAGTTCTAATACCTGTTAACAACCTCTGCATGTTTCTTGTCAGTCCTTGTCCCCCTGTTTGACCACAACCTTGCCTGCTGACTTTGTACCCCATTTCATTTCTCCCTGTTGTCAGTTCAAGCGTAGGGATTACCTAGGATCCATCCTCTGCAAAGCTCATCATCCCTTGAGGGGTGCTCTGGTGAACACCTGGCAAATCCTTAGACCCTGCACCACAGCCCTCTTTAGGGCATACATTAATCTGGTGACTGAGGTGAGGGTCTACTACCTGCATGACAATTCTTATATAGAACTTTCTGCATACTTTAAGTCTTCAGACCATTTCTGGTGAGAGACAATATTCTTTATTTTTTTTCTACATGGGAGACATATTTATATTAGCATAAGAGCACACAAAGTTGGTCTTCTCCTTAAATTCTAATATAATTTTTGGTTGGTGTGAGCTGTTAATGCAGCTGTTTTGAAGACGTATACTGTATTAGAAGTATGTATAACAAGTAATATATTTTATCTCTAAAACATTAATAACAGATTTGCATTTTGAATTAAAGTTAGTAGGGTGTATATTGTGCTTTATAGCACATTATCCACCATTCAATAGAATACCTGTAATACCTCTAATCCTAAAATCATATAATCCCTATACACATTGGTAAAAAGTTACTTGTAGTTTTTTTCAGTTATTTGTTCAGTGCTCCCAGCGAGTATGTCACGCAGTGTAAATAAGTAAGTGATCGGGTATAGCATAACATAATATGGTAGCACAGTAACACTGAATAGGCTCTAACAGCTGCTTCTATCTAACCTAGTAATTCCAAATTATAGCCTTTTAATAAAATGCCAATCTTCATTTCTCAAATTCTTTAATTCTTATGTTGTAATAAAAGATATTAGTTATATGTTAGGTGTA